TATGTCATCTGCAAATAACATGTCCCAAGGTGCCGGTTCGATGATCCCTTGGCCCAGCACATCTATTATCACGTCGAAGATCGTTTGCCAATGCGAAGTCTATGATGCTCTCACCTTCTCCGTTTCTCCTTTCTACACCCCATCCACCGTGTACCCTGGGCAGTACCCCTCTTTCTGCTCCGATGTGCCCATTCAAGTCCCCTCCCAGAAACACTCTTTCCTCCTGCTGTATCGACTGTATTTCTTCGTCCAGATGTCTCCAGAACTCTTCCTTCTCTTCCTCAGTACATCCCACTTGTAGAGCGTATGCACAAACCACATTTAGAACCGTACTTCCAACTTCACACTCATTATCCTATCGCTCCTCCTTCCCACGCTCACGAAATCCTCCCTCCACTTACTGTCCAGTACAATGCCTACACCATTCTGCCCTTGGACGTTTGCACCTCTGTAGATGAGCTTACACCCTGCACCAATGTCCCTCGACTTGTTCCCCCTCCACCTCGTCTCCTGCACACACAACCCTCCCACCTTTCTTCTCTCCATCAGGTTTGTCAGCTCTCTACCCCTTCCTATCATGCTTCCTACGTTCAGCGTTCCAACTCTTAGATTTTTAGATTCTTAGATTTATCATCTGAATAAACATTTGGAATTTCCAAGTAGATAAAAAAAGTCCTTTATAAAAATACACATAGAGCACTGTAAACTAAAAAAAAACAACTAACATTTCCATCTATTTCAAGACAGTAGTTTATGAGCCCTAGCAAATTATCTGTTTAGCATGTCTCTGCTTAAAAAAATTGTGAAGAATCATTAATACCCACTACAAAAGAAATTAGTTTATACACTGAAATAAAATTGAAGAAATCAAACGGGTCTATGCTAACCATTTGCTGCTAGCCATAACGGAGAATTGCCTTTCTTGTTCTTCACATCAACAGAAGCTCCCCTGAAAAAAAAACATTATAGAAAATTTATATATATATATATGATACACAAAAACTTTTATAAGTACAAAGCATTCATTATCTGTTTCAGGGCACCTTTGATGCTTATTTTGATATTGAGGTATGATCCATACACAGTTTCATAGCTATGTAGAAAACCTGGAGTAGTTTAAGTGCAAAGCTGATCTATGGGCTATATGCACTGTGCCCATGGTAGGGATTAAAACCCATATTTTAGTATTATAAACCTCAATTTGCTACTGAGTCACAAAAGGCAAATTCCTTGAAATATTTGTTACAAAGCAAAAATATTCTTATAATTTCTCCAAAAAGCTGTATTCATCTTAGATCAGAAAACGTAACACTGTGTATAAAGTTAGTTTTAAAAGAACTGTCTTTTGCAGATCATGTTCGTATATTATAGTTTTTTCTTCTATCAGTAACTAAAGATTCAGTCATTTACATGCGCATTACTATTAAAAGCTTCGAGTTTAATTCAAATTGTTTAATTCAGTCATGACACTGTATGCATAAACACACAAATGCTATTAATTCCTATATGTACTTTAACATAAATGTTTTTGGACAAGCAAATAACTTACAAGTTTTAAAAAGATTCTGCAAATACATATATATGATCAGAACTCATATGTATTTTCTTTCATACATACATTACACTGAACTGCCAGTTCAAACATTTATTACTGTCATTTCTAAGTGAAAGTAATGTATCCACAAGTAAAGAACTGTTTTCATTTATTACTCCTTTTGTAGTAGAATTGACAAAAACACTGATACTTTCTTTGAAGTTGGTTCACTGACGCAAAGGCTGCACAGATGAAAAAAAAGTAAAGGGTTTACATGAAACTAGAAAAACTTATCAGTTTATCAAATTATTCTCTCCTAAACCAGACAATATTGTAGTACTGTATTATCATGATAATGACTGGCTTCAGCCAGTCAAAACTTGAAGATTGTGTTTTTTTAATATTATGTTTTATTTAATTTCAAATAATTAATCATGATTATAACACTGTAGGTATGTGGATTTTTATCAAGTTTTAGGCTGATATTCCATTAAATTCTGCTAATTACATTATCAATAGAGCTTTTTTTTGTCTCTCTGACTCGTGAGTAAAATCTTGACCTGGTGAGATTAAGCATTTTTTTAAACCTTTCTTTTCTTTTTTTGGTCTAAAGAAATTTTTAAGAAACAATTATTCTTGATCAATTTAGTTGTAAAAAATATAGGACAGCAATTAAAAGCGACCTTAAGTTTTATCATATAGTAATTCAATACTTCACTGTAATTATATACAAAGTCATTAGAGCTACCTTTTTTTTTTCCCATTTCTATGGTTTTCAAAATAACCATACTTCAGTCATCATAAAAAATTACAAAATTTGACAATGAACGATCTGCTTTGAAGAGAAATGTTAATCCTACCTTGATAAGAGAAGTTCAACAAAACGATAATGGCCCTTGTCAGCAGCAATGGTCAAAGCAGTATCTCTAGATGATGGAACAGGTGGTGCATTAACATCGGCACCTTTGTCAAGCAGGACACGACCAACTTCTACATAACCACCAGAAGCTGCTTCCATTAGTGGTGTCAGTCCAGTCTGTTACAAAAAAATAAAAATTTAAAGGAATAGTTAATTATCAAAATTTCACAAGTATATCCATTATTATCATGGATTAGTGTGTGTGTGTTTTTGTAAAAGCAAAACCACATTAGGCTGTATCTGTTATGTCCCTGACTTTAACGTTGTAAATCTGTAGATTTACCGCTGTCCCACTGGGGGACTCATGGATTAATAAACCAAACAATATTTTTTCCAGAAAATAATTATGCAAGTAATGAATAAAATAATTCATGGAATAGTTCTTATCTTTTTGGCAATTAATGCATAACAGTAAAAGACATAAGAATGCAATTAAAATTACTCATGCTTACTTCAGTCACAATATTATTATACTAACAGGCAATGAATTCTACAAATTACAAACTGCAAAATCAAAATGTCGTCCAATACTCATCCAACGTATTAGATTTGATGCTTTGCTATTTCCTACAGGTATACTGATATTATAGTAAATATCACATTTTAACATGAGAGTTTTTAATCAAATGTTAACATATTCGTACATTTTACTGCTTACTGATATAGTATGTTGATTATATACTATTTAATAATGATTTTTTGTAATAGAGGTATTTAATAAATACTTCTATCTGATCTAAGTTAACTTTCCATGTTTTATGCTGAATATATGTGATTTAATAAAGAAATTGCAAATTTTTCCAGTCTAGAAAGTAAATAATATATGAAACTGTAAAACCACCCAAAACTTATTTTCACACCTTTGCTCGATGCTCTACATTGGCTTTTCTGTCCAGTAATAGACTAACTACTTCATGGCGCCCTTGAAAACATGCTAGAGTTAGTGCAGTGTTACGATTGGTCTCAATCTGAGCATTAATATCACTTCCATTATCTAGAAGCAATCTGACTGCAGCCGTGTGTCCGTTCATTGCTGCTAACATCAAAGGAGAGATTCCTAACTTGCTTCCCGTCCTACAAAAAAAGAAGTAATATGAAAAAATAAGATATATAAAACTGATGTGAAAATGTAGTTGCGTGTACAGACACAAGTTTAAAAAGTGAAATTTATATCTTTATAAATACAGCAGCAATTTTTTTTCAGAATAATGCACAAGTCTAGTCTTTTCCAAAGTAATTTTAATTTTTAGTTATGTTTTTGCCCACAAACTCATTTGCACTTTAAAAAAACATTTACATCAAATTGTCTATAGATACAAAACAGCAATTGATATGAAAAATTCACACAGACTAAGTTCTTAATATTTTTATATATATATATCTTAAAAAGTGCAAATCTTAATTTAAAAAAATCATATTTGAAATTGTATAGAGATGATTTAAAATCAGTTACCTAACCAAAATGGAAGATCTATTTGAAACATGCACAATCTATTATTTACGACTATTAAAAATGTTTGCTTAAAAAGTTAAAATAAGAAGAAAGAAATATGAACAACCAAGCCCACAAAAATTAGCATTTTTTTATGCACCTTCCTAAAGTCATGGCCTCAAATAAAAGAAGTTAAAAACTATATTATTTATAATGTACTCACCTTGAGTTAATCTCAGCACCTTGATTTAAAAGGAGTTTGATAATGTTTACATATCCACCAGAGGCAGCTAAACTGAGAGGTGTATAGTCTGACACATTCCTGTGTTCCTTATTAGCTCCTCGTGCTAGCAAAATCTCCACCACCTTATCAGCATAATTCACAAAACAGAAAATCATTTTCAAGTGGTAGAAAAGTTTAACAGTCTGTTACATTTAAGAGTAAGATATATTTATTCAAAAAAAATTGTTTGCCAATTTTCTTTTACACTGTTTACTACTGCTTATATATCATTACAAAAATGGGAAAGAAAACAGTATTATTAACTAATAACTTAAAAACTGACTGCAGCAATAATTGAACACGTGTTCATGTTCAATTATAATAAAATCTGGAAACATTTATTTTTTAAAGCTGAAAAATTTACAGTATAATCAAAGTTGTATAAATATGATACTTAAAACTTTAATACACACCTCAAATCGACCTCCAGAACAAGCTAAGGAAAGAGGAGTATCTTTGGTACGCTCTGACTGAGCTTCTATATCACTTCCATGATTGATGAGGATTTCTACTACTCCTGCATGTCCTGCTGTGGCTGCTAACATGAGTGGAGTAAAGCCCTTTTTATCTCTGTGCTCCATATTGGCTCCTCTTTGAAGCAGAAGACTAGTGAGTTCCTCATGACCACCCGCACAAGCTAGAGTTAGTGCAGTGTCATGGTTGCTATCAGTCTGAGAGTCAAGGTCAAGTGGTGCAAACAGAGGAGGTTGGGCTTGGGCATTGGCTACTGCAGTTGGTGTAACAGGTTGACTCAGCTGTGAGTGGTGATGAGTGGGAACAATATTGGTGGTAGAGGCAACAACTGGACCAATGTTGGGAACAGCAGAAGTTACTGTTGGGTTTAATGCATGAAAAGGTAAGTGTAGAGAGGTAGACAGAGTACTTCCTGCTGGAAGTGATGCCATTGTTAGTCCCATTCCCATATTCACACCTACAGTAGCACCAGAAGTGGCCAAAGTGGGATCTAAACAATGAGTCTGTAGGGAAGCTTGGTGACCTAATGCTACCTGAGTTCCAGCTAGTTGAGTCGTAGGACCTGAGGATAAAAACAACATATAAATCAATCTTTGTTTCTTATATTAGTGTAAATATTTTGTTAGGTAAAACAAAATATCGTGATTAATATGGTTCTGTGGTTTTAGGGAAACTCTCAACACTGTTGAGAATGAAATGTAATTTAGTGAATTTTCAAGAGTTATGTCTTAATCTCAACTACAGTAACACTAACAGTGTTTACAGTTGGCATTAACAGAATTAGCTAATTCAATCTTATATAATGCAGTAAAACATTCTCTTTAGATAGACTATAGTGAAGTATTACTTTATAAAAAACTGCTGTAAAAGTGTTGTGTGTATAAATCCTCTTTACCATACACAGTTTGTTGTCAGAGATGAATCTCTATTAGGAGGGAAACCTTTCCAGCAATAAAATCAAACTGAAACCTTACTTTCATAGGTTCATTTTTAACAACCTGACTTGTAAAGTACATACTCTAGATTAGATAACAGAGTTTAGCAACATTTCTATAGAATTTTAATATATGGATTTGCTGTGTCTGTCGGTCTGACTATAAAATGAATTGTACAGCAGTTTTTAATTTAATCCAACCTTAATTAGTCATTTGTATAAATCTTGAAATTATTCTCTTAACCCCTCCAGGATCAGGGTGGTGTCACTGAAATCCCTTGATTTTTTTCCTTCTAGCAGCATAAACACTTAAAATCAAGCTGCATAAAACATAGTACAAATTTACTAAACAGTATTTAATTTCAGCTTTAATAAATTCATATAATTTGATTTAGCTTTCTGTTTGCTTTTTTGTTCTGACTGTACAATTTCCAGAATTTTGTGATACACAGTTTTAAAAAATATATAAATACTTCCTTTTGTCTTAGAATGTTTTTTTTATTATTGTTGACCAAAAAATTCCATCTTATATATGCAGTCCTTTTTCAATTTAAAATACAAGCTGAGTTCCCCCCCTCCTTTGTTTGGGTTTTGAATTTAAAAAAATGTGAGGGTGAATACTATAATAAATAACACAAAAATCTTAACATCACACAATTTATTTATAAAATGTTATTATATTACTCATTATTACCTCACCCAAAGTTCTGTATATGGTTTAAGAACTCGATATGTATATATTTCAAACATGACTTTGATTTAAGAGGTAGCAGGCCAAAGTAGTGACATCAGTGGTGCTTTCTGTTACCTGCTTTTAAAGTCCTTCCACAGTGTTTCAAATGATTAATTAATTGATTGTCATTGGCTTACGTCAGAGATAATAAATGCTAATAACAGCGATAATGGGGATTAATGGAGTTGTTAACCCCCATTAAGATGCCCCTTGTTCCAAATTATAATCCCACAAAGTTTGGTTCAGATTGGCCTATTCACCTAGTAGTAGTTAGGTAAAAAACAGACAGACATACTTTTGTGCTTTATGTATATAGATTTCATTTAGAAGTTCATTTTGATGAATGCAATAGCCACCATTTCTGATTTATGCACTGTAAAAAGCACAATAAAAACTGAAAAACAGTTATCAGTAACCTATGACCTCACCTTTTGAACTTTCATGATAGTGTCAACATTACGTTTATTAAGCTAGGTAATATTTTTCCTAACAATATTCTTGATTAAGATAAACAAATTATTTTATTTATGTGCATCAGTTAAATACAATAAACTTAATAATATTCAATAAGTAAGAATTTGAGTCATTGGAATATTTTGACATCACCCACTCTTCACAGTTTTCAAACACATATAATTCAACATTAAATAATTTTCAGAAATGAAAAGTAAGTCTAAATAAATTTAACAGACCTCTGGTTATTTCTTAAATCTTCTAAACTATCTATTAGGTACCACTGTTCATTCCATCTAATCACCTTCTCATGAAACCATATATTACTTCTCATACCAGCTTAATTATCTACATTTTCATAAAGTTTGTTATCTGCTCTATCCAATAGTATTTAAACTTTGCCTACAGTTACTTGCAAAGCTGGTTTCATTAATAATTATTCAGACACATTTTGTGAAATTTTAACAGTGGTAGGAACAGTAAGACATGGATAGTAATATTCTCATAGGATTATAGTTTCTTGGCAAAATAACCTATGCTTTGGAATGGACAGAAAAATTCTAAAACAAATCTAAGTGTTATTTACAGGAAAGACTACTAGGGAATGCACAGAGATGAATATTTGAAATTTTAATTTTCTTAGTGAATTACAGTAAGTAAATTAAAAATATATCCATTATAAAATATTTTTGATTTAAAAGTTGATAAAAAGTTAGAATTATCATTTTACTTAAATTTTGAATTTTCAAATTCAGGTGTGCATTTGACACATGAAAGGTGCTTGGCAGTCCTGATAAAGTTAAGTAAGCAGTTGAAGAAAGCCAAATTATTAAATGCATACATACAGAATAAGTGTGTGAAAGTTGTAGGACATCCTTGTTTTGGTTAAGCAATATAAAATACAAACTCATTTTATGCAATATAAGACAGGCCAGCCATTAAGAATCTCACTGGTAGTATTTAAAAAAAAGTCTTGTAACAGCTTTGTTAACCTTGAAAGTGGCAGCCTTCTTTAATTTGAAGTTTTTCAACACCCAATTGCTTTAAAGTAATTTTTTTATATACATCTAGTACTTTACCAGTTTTAGTGTTTAGTCCACAATTACCAACTTGTTTATATACTGTTCACTACCTGTTGACCACACATTGTATTATACTGAGTAATTGTATGTTTTTCCCTGTTACAACACTCAGTGTAAAGAACTGACCAAAACAAAACATTTTCTATACAGTATGCATATGAAACCTTGGCAGTAATTAGTGGATTAACTGCAATATAAGCATCCTTTCTGTCTACATTTTTGTGCAGTTCATATGCTATTAGGAGTGTAACCAACAGTCATGGACACACAAGCAATATGATGCAATAACAGTATAGAAAATTTTTTTAAAAAGCCAATGAGATTAAATGTGGTAACCTGGAGTACCTCATGTTATTAATAATGAAACATATATTTTTAGATTTATATCACTGTAATGTTGTTTGGTGCAAGTTACAAATGAATAATTATTGCACATATAGTTCCTACAAAAATCTCTCTTTGTTTTACTAAAACATTTTGAAAACTGTAAATAACTATTTGAAACAAATCAAGTAGATGATGCCTTCTTAGATTTAACAGAGGTTTTGCAGTATTGGTGTTAAACTGTTTCAGCTGTCAGGAGAGTTTAGAAGAGGTTTCTAAAAAACAGAACTACCACAGAATTCAAACTGGCAGTATCCTGTAAACCCTGTATGCAGTGGACTGAAGCACTTCTTTCAGAAAAAATGTCCCATTCTCAAGAAAGATAATGCTTTCTTCTGTAATCCATTCACAAATGACTCCACTGATTGAATACAAGGCACCAACAATATGTTTGGGTATGTACAAGTTTCTTCTACTTAATGTTTTCTTGCACATTCCTGTCAGTTGATCTGGCTTCACATGATTGATCTCTGGCAAATGATGAAAATCAGCAACCAGATCGTACAAGAGAATGATAATTAAAGCATGACAATTTGTGTAACCTGACTCTTTGACACAATTATCCATTGCAGAAATTTTGTATCACAGTGCCATATCAAAGAACAGACTGAAATTCAATCTTTATCTGAAACATGCTCATTACAATGTATTTCTTTATTAAAACCCTGATTAACATCATAGATGTTAAACATCTGCAGGTGTAGGTTAAAAACAGTCTATTGGCATATAATATGATATAAGAGCAGGGGAAAAGCTTGACCATAATTCTCAAGTTCAATGATGACATTATTAGGCACTATCAATTGTGTATTAAAGGAGAAGGTTGAGATTCACTTGGATCCAAGTTATCCTCCAAATCAATAGGCAGATTAAGCACCAGTTGTGCAGTTTTGACCCAAGTATCATTTGAAGCCCAAGATTTCTGGTACTCTTTAAACTGCATTATTAATAGTACACAGCTGTGTTATTGCATTGTTGAGATAAGCTTCTTTATCTTGCTGTAGCTGTACTGTTTTATATTCAGGGAAATTGAGGTCTTTTAGCCCAATGTTTAACCAAAAACATTCATTGCACACACACACACATTAATCTTTTCTTCCAATGCATAATCTGGGCTTAAAGTAATGAATATATTCTTGTCATATTTTGTATGAAAGCAAACATTTGTATTTCATTTTGATCATAAAAATATACTTTGTACAACTTACTCCACTTCAATGAACCATTTTCTATACCTACTTCATAGAATTTCTGAAAGTATAAAAAAAATATGGTTCAGTTTTCCAAGAACTTATCTGATTACTAATGGCTTCCTTGGTGAAACTCTTGGAGACTTATTTTTCTCATCAAATTTTGCAAGAATGGCAACCCTCAATCCCCCTACACCAGTTAGAAGTGCCACAATTTCAATCTGCAAGAGACCCTGAGCAATTAATGCTAAAATCATACCATCTATGTTTTTTTCTGGCTAGCTTTGTCTTTATTTATAGCTTTCTTGTTTAATATTTATCTTTCTTCTGTTCTTTGCAGTACCTTTCTACTTTTTCTTGATGTGTCCATCAAATAGTATTTCATTTATATTTTAACTTCAAGTATCCACTTGGACACACAGCCATTTTTGCTTTTATGGCTTTTGCAGGAGCCTAAGGACATTCTTCTGATGTAATGTGAGCAAGAGAAACTGGGTACATGCTACCCAGTGTTACTGAGTGGTGTCTCATATGCACCCTTAATGGTAATTCTACGATTAATATCAGAACATGAAAGTTATAAGTAACTTATAATCTTAAATATCTGTATGTTTGCACGTATTTATTATCTAATTTTCACACAACTTTAAAATCACTTAACATTAAATCAGCACTTACTTGAATGATATAGGCCTAAACCAAGTCTATGAAGCAGAGTGAACCTTATGACATATTATTGGGATTATGACTAAAAACACTATTAACAGCAAAAAGCATCCAAATAAGACTATAAATAAACTTACGCTTTGCTATATATATATATATATATATGTATGTATGTATGTATGTATGTATGTATGTAGATTGTGTGTGTGTGAGTGTAAATGTGTATGTTTGTTGCATATGCGTGTGTGAAAATCATAATGTGTGTTTGTATAGATAAGGTGTGTGGTTCAGAAGTCTAACAGTCTCCATTGATGGTCAAAACACATGTATTTAATCATCTTCAAAGATTACAAGTTTTAATGGTTTCTCATATAATGGTCTTCCCAGCACACATATATATACAAAAGAAAAATCAAAATTTCTGTTTTCTTGTAATTACATTTTCCAAAGTTAAGTCAATCTTTTGTTATTAGAAAGTTTATTCACACATTAATTTCATCAGTAATGAGAAGGACAACATTAAAGAAACTTGTAATAACTGTAAAAATGAATTTTACTTACTTGTCATGATATCACCCAAGGTATCATGCAGAGTTCTTGCAGGGGCTGCCACCATTAAACCATCTTCAAGTGAAAAACTGGGTGCAAATGCTGGCCCACAACCAGAGCTTATGCTACCTGCTGAGGGAAGGTTTGCTGCTGATACAGCTAGAGAGACTGGAAATGAAGGAGAGCCCACTCCTCCTAAAGTTAGGATGCTCGCTGTATCCAGAGAGAGGTTACTGACTAATGAAAGAGGTGATTCTGGTGTTGAGGACAAGGCAGACCTGGTATTGACTTGAGTTTGTTGCTGCTGCTGTAAGAAAAGCTGTTGATGATTTAGATGCTGAGCCACTTGTTGGGTTTGTTGTGATTTAGAGTTTTTAGTTTTCAGTGATTTCATCTGTTTCTCTCCCAACTGTTGCCTCTTGTTTTCATGTTGCATAAGTTGTTGCTGCTGTTGCTGAAGTTGTTGCTGTTGTAATTGCTGGTGTTGAAGTGCTAAAGCTTGACTGACAGCTACAGGATCTATAATGGGAACTGCATGAGTCTGGGTTGCATCCATAGTAAACCTAATGCTACCACCAGCAGTTGGGATAAGTGTATCAGGAGCACCTTCAGGAAGGTTACCTCTCAAAGTCAAATTTTGAGAAAAATCTGACAGCATGAAATGCTGCTGAGAAGCTTGCTGTAACAAATGCTGGGGATCAGATATTGCTACATTTCTAAGATTCATTTTTTCCACTTCTTCAGTATGAACTAGATTCTTACCTGCTAAGTGATGTGTCTGAAGTTGTGTGGGAGACTGCTGTTGCTGTTTGAGGACATTATTTTTGGTCTGTTTAGAGGCTTGTTTGGTAACTCTACCTTTGACATGTTCAGAAACAGAAGTTGTTAGATTAACTGACTTATTTTGAACAGCAGGTTGTTGATACAATTGTTGTGAATGTAGTGTCTGAAGGGTGGCAGGGGTAGGGAGATGATGTGCAGCAGATTTTAAACTAAGGAGACTTCCAGAAAGGTCAGGAATTACAGGGGTAGGGAGTGGCCCCATGTCTAGAAGTGTAGTGTTGGTCAAAAGTACCTGCTGACCATGGCTAGAGTTGGGTGGAAGAGTACCAGCACTGGTAACTGCAGAAACTGTTTGGGAAGCAGCAGCTAGGGCTTGAAGATGGTGTTGTTGTTGCTGCTGAGCACTTAGGTACAGTTGAGCTTGGGCTTTCTCCTGAAGCTCTCTTTCAACACGCTGTAGCTCTTCCAGGATTTGCTGTTTCTGAATTATTTGTTCCTCTCGGCTAGGATTCAATCTTTCAGCTTTCTTCATCATAGTGTTGATGCAGGCTTCAAGTTTTTCACAGGGTTTAAGATCCTTGTCTTCCCCAATATCAGTGCCCCCTCCTCCAAGACCTGCCCCATTACCCTCCTGCATGGGCTTCTGACTAGTGACCTCTGCCTGGATGTTCACAGAGGTGGTCTGAGCGGCTGCACATGCTTTGTTCTTGGAGTGTGTCCGCTGTAAAACCTGGGTGTCCCCAGGCAAGGAAGAGGGGGCCTCGATGCCTCGTGACATTGCCAACTTCCTCTGCACTGACTTTTGCATATTTTGCTTGGCATTAGCCAGCATGGCACTACTCTGTAAGGCATCTTTCATCTGCAGAGGTTCAGGTATCCGAGGAACTATAAGAAAGGACAAATTTGATAATTTATTTAAACTCAAAATTATCACAGCATAATTAATTTTTCTTTACATATTTTATATTATTTATTCTTTCCTTAACATGACTTACTATTTTCATAATCAGTTTCAATCAATTTTTTTTCTTTTACTAGAATAATTGTCAAGAATTTTCATATACATGTAGAGTAGCCCCTATTACCCCAATTATTTAATTTCATATAAAGATTTTCTAAAAATCTGCTTGGAGGAAAAAAAAAATGTTAGCTTCCAATTTAGAGAATTATCTTTTATGTTTGGATTTCTATAAATCTACACAGAAGTTCTAAACACTGATTTGTAATGAGGCTGTTTTTGAACCAGATTAAAGATGATACATTACATCCTATCTAAGTTGAAATTATTCCTAATTAAAGAGGACTTAAAGTTATTTTGTTAAAAAAATTTGCAGGAACATTTAAATCCTTAATTAGTATACTACAATATCTTATCACTCAGTATAATTGAAACTAACTTCAATACTACTAAAATGCAACCACTTGGATGATGTTCATAATGATAATTTCACAAATAGTCATCATGAAAATATCACTAATATTAAGTATGTCAATCAAGAAGTGATTCTTTTCAAGTGGTTTTATAACACATATATGAAAAACAACTCAAATCTGAATTTTATTTTGAAAACAGGAACTTAATTCTTTCACTCAAATTCAGAACAGTAAAAATTATTTAGCTTTAATCTAAAACTACATAAGCATATCAAAAATATTTCTTCGAACGCATCACTTAACATTTCATCTCCATTATATGCAAAAGCTTTTAATATCAAAAATAAATTGACTAAGAGAAATTTGGTATTAGCAGGAAATTAGACTGCTAGTTGTGAAAATATGTGCATCTTTTGTTTTTTAATATCAACAAGAGAACATGAACAATTTATTCGTTGAATATCAATAGTAACAACTTTTAAATTGCTATATTGGAATACCTTTTGATGTAGAAGATTACATTTTTTTTCCTTTACCTGGAATTTAACATATCTTAAAATAATGCTAAATATATATATACACAATGCTGTAACTAGAAGTATTTTATTTAATCAAAGAAATGTTAAATGAATAATATCAGCTTATCAATTTTATTATACAAACTAAAGGAAAAAATAATGTAAATAAAATAATGTGACAATTTCCCTAAAACGTTTTTTTCATCCATCCTTGATTATTGCATAGATATCATACTAATACATTATTCAACTTACCAGACTGGACACTAGTAAGGTAAGACTGACCAGCAGATATAGCCTGGTCCATTTCTTGAGGTGACATAACCTGAAGCCCATGAGGTGGAACCCGAGGAGCCTAAAATATTGCACAATACTTATTGATACATCAAAACATGGCCTTTACAAAAAAATAAAGTTTAAAACAAATAACATTTACAAGTTTCAGACATCATAAATAAGTCACGTTTTATACTCATTTGAAAGACAAATATATGGAATCTATTAATTCGAATAAGTTGACTATTAAAACAATGAAGCAAAAGCAAATGATTAATCATAATCAATACAAACCAACTGTGCATACTAATATAATGGCATGTTGAGGATGAACCTTTAAACAAATGTATGATCACTCAGTCTACACTTCAGGCCACCCATTTTTTCTCTCTCTCTATCTTTAATGAAAATTGACATTTTCAAAATAAAAACAGCCTCCTTGAAACCATGACTGTTGGAAAGGTATGCTGATGACACATTATTAATCCATTTACTCTTGATGATTTCCTGATACAGAACAAATCTGGGCTACAACATTCAGTTCACCATGAAATCTTAGAGAAATTGCACCCTTCATTTCCTCGATATTCTCCTCTATTAAAAGGACCAATCATTTCACGATCACTGTTTAAGAAAACCGCACACAATGCATTCAGATATCTACACCTTGCATCTAACCACCCTTTCTGTAATAAAAGTGTAATTATGAACTATCTTTTACCATGCCAAAAAACTCCAAAATCAACTATCTAAGCATTTTCATCCATTCATCAAATAAAATGATTCTACCCTATTACAACTTCAGACAAAAAGTACACCATAATCCTACCATGTACTCCAAAATTACATACTTGAACAGTATGTAAAAAAATCGACATGCAAGAAGTTTATTCCAAATCCAGTAAAACATTCTAAACATTAGAAATTTAAAAATCACACTTCTAGAGAAACACATATGAATGGTATTCTACAAAATAACATCTCACATAACAGAGTGAAATTAATACACATTCGGGACTACTCTACTGTATCTAATAAAAGTAGCCTCAGTTGAAGATTTCCAAAACACCATTCATATCATCAAATTCTCAACATTGCACAACACTGAAAAATAGAGACTGAAAGAAAATTCTCCAACTCAATCAAATACATACACCTTTCTTCTTCAAAAAAAACCGAAGGCAATAACGAAATAGTACCATAAAGCCCAAACACTAACTGAATGGTGATGACATCATACGAGCTCCGTACACCTGAGCTCTTATCTAGAGCTACTTTCTTCAGTTTCAATCTTCAATTTTCAGAATTACATACTCCTAAGTTCTTATTCACAACTCTACCTTCTTTCTATGTTATGCCCTACTAGTCATTATGCTCGGCCTGATGTACACTTTTGCCTAGCAGTTCCAAATACCGTTCTCAACTCAATGGACATTTGCAGTCCATAAAAGTTTCTATCCAAAGAAGACAAATAAACCTTATAAACTTATACTTCAGTCTGTCATTTAAGAATTCAGTCAGCTTTAATGGTAAATGTGAGTAAGAAAACAACTGATAATTTTTCTAATGATATACTTATTTGGAAAATTAAGAAAATGATGACATGGACAAATCATTCTTGTTCTTTACATTAGCATATTCAGTGTCTTGATGTAATGAGTACTTTTCTTGGGGTCTTAAAAAAGATGGGCACCTGACAAGTTAAAAAACAATTTACCTCTGCAAGGTCCAAGCCTGTAGTTGTTAATTGAGATAGGTCAGGGGGAGGAGGTGGTGAAGATAGGAGATCACCAGGATAATCTAATAACAGTTGAACAACAGTTGTATGGCCTCCTTTGGCAGCCTCAATCAACATTGTAGAGTTGTCCTGTAAACAATTTAAATCATTTTAAATTCAACTTAATTTTAAATTCTTATCTATTTTTTTTTACTTTTAAGAAAGGAAACAAAAATTATGCAAATAAATACAGAAAAAATACAATAATGAGTTGTAAAGGCCTTTTTCAGTTTGAAGTTAGCTCTGAGATAAGAACCAAAACTATCTATTTCAGTTTAACAGCAAGAAATCTTAAGATCTAAAAAATACATAAAAACAATTTTCCCTTAACTTGTAATTTTCTTTCAAATTATTTCTGAGATAAGTATCTTAAGAGGTTTCATATTTTGACTTCATCCTTGTAATTCATTCATTATAAATGAACAGTTTTTATTCACAAAAAATACCAACAGCATATGAAATATATAAAACTTGTACATTTTTTTTTACATTATCAATTTCAGTACACTAGAAATCATTGGACTAAAGGAAGAATTTATGAATTTACATAATGTTTTTAGAGCTAATATTTTTAACAGAATTTTTGTAATTTAATTTCTAAGTGAAACTACAATGAATGTAGAAGCTCACCTTGAGTTTATGAGTTGGATCAGCTCCATTACTAAGAAGAAGTTCCACAACTTCCAAGTTCCCACCAGCACAAGCCAATGAAAGAGGAGTATGATCATTATTTGTTGTTTGCTTGTTCACATTTACTCCCTTGGTGATCAGAAATCGGACCGTACACAAACGCCCTGCTCGAGCTGCTTTCATTAAAGGTGTTCTTCCTCCCTCAGATTCATGTTCCTGAAAGTGAAAAAAAAATGTACATTTATGTTAAATTATAATACAATAAAACAACAAAAGCAACTGCAGGATTTACAGACTATCTCTTTTTTCTAAATGAGATTTGTACCTTATGAATTTAATCTTATACTTACAAACTTCTTAATTTTAACTCCATATATCACCTAATACTCATAGGTATTCTTAATCTTTTGTATATAAAAACTTAAGAATAATGGTATTTGATTGTCACTCTCACAGCACACCAATGGTCCCAAAATTTATTTATAATATTTTTTTTTAAACTACATTTCACAAAATAAAATGTGATAACATACTAATGCTTACACCACAGAAAAAGAAAAATACCAAGCAGCACAAGTTTCATAGATCTATAAGCTATTATTACAACATCATGATAAAAATATTAGTCAACAGTGTCAAGTAACAGTTATGGTAAAAATAAACAGATTAAATACAAAAAAAAAGAAATATCAGAAGTAGTAAATGAAATCCATTATTTAAAGTTTAAAAAAGGGAATTACCAATTCAGCTCCAGCTTGCAAAAGCAAATCAGCTACATCTGTGTGTCCATTTTCACAAGCATAAGTCAGAGCAGTATCTCCTGTTCCTGTCTGGGCATTGACATTGGCACCTACCCAAACATTCAAAAATCCTTTACTTTCAACATATGTTTATTTTTTTAATAAAAACTTTATATGCCTATTAAGAAAAAGGCCACTGAAAACATAAATCTGAACAACAAAAACAGTGTACTAAAGCTTGTCTTTCAACCATGTGGATTACAAATCTTCACATCCACAACACTTTGTATTTATCATTCTAAGTACAATAACCACATAAAAATATTTCCAAAAATGCTAGATGTATTAAGTAAGCAGACTTTCTTCATTGTAAACCTTCTATTCTCTCCTGAAACAAGTTAGGTTCTGCTAATAAAACCTCATATCTCTCAACTACCAAACTACTGTTTTCCCACCTATTAAACTTTTGTTATAAAAAACAAAAATAAAACCATATCACTCCACCATATCCATTCTAAAAGTTACGTGATATTTAATACAAATTTCAAAATTTATTGTTTTTCATTGTTGTTAAATTTATCATAGTCTTTTACCACAAAAGATAAAAACAGTAGCATTCACTTTTCTCACTAATTTGATATATGTAAAAATGTAATTTGAAAACACAAACACACTAAATTTTTTCAAGTTAAAAAGTAATATACATTGGCATCTGTTTCAAGTAAGCATTAGCATCTTCCAACAAAAAGAACTTTGTCTGAAGACAAATTGTTCAATCTACATGTTTTGGTGAAAGAATGTTCTCAACCATCATCAAAATTTATACTGTATTCTATTACTGATGTCTATGTTATTACAAAAATGTGTATATATAGAAATATAATCAAGAGTTTTGAAATGTATGAACTAATTCTTGATTAAATCGCAATGACAAGAGAACATATCAAAACATGTACACAGAAAAATTTATGCTTTCTCTTAAATCTTTTTATTTTGCTTATAAAATCACTGTACAATTTTTAATTTTGGCTTAATTAGCATAAGTACCATTCAACATGTATAATTTTAATATTTCAACAAAAACAGAATAAATAAGGCTGAAAGCTTAACACATTATCTGAATGTAATGTTTACCAATTACAAAGTACGAGTCTCAGCTAGACATTGCACATTTGAAATATGTATATGTGTGGGTGTTAAGCAATAAGTCACCCCAACCTGCATTAATAAGGTATCGGACAAGTTCTAAATGTCCTTCTTGAGCTGCTTCCATCAGTGGAGTACTTGCTCCCAACTCAATGTCAGCCCCAGCTTTGATAAGAAATTCTGCAACTTCTAGAAATCCTCCACAACAGGCCAGAGTGAGAGCTGTTTCTTGAGTTTCCTCAGTCTGAGCATTTATGTCAGCACCTATAAATGAAAAATCACTAATATAAAAAAAAGTCCTTCTTCAGAGAAGATCCCAAGGTTCATACAAATAATATAAACAAACCTGATTATGATTATATTTAAATACATCAATTAGAATGGACAACAAAAAATTTGCTACTGCAGAAAATTCAAGTGTTTTGGGGTAACTTGATGGCACTTATTTCAAAAACGTAGTCAAAATTTGTTCAACACCTGTAGATTTTGAGTTATTGTAATATTTCAATATTTTATCAGCACTATGTGAAATACCATGCAATCAACTCAGTATAATAGATTTATGCTGTGAAATAAAGTTTACTTCAACAGTTTAATGGGTAAAAGGCATACACTTTTGATAACTTCAAACACTGACTGTATGGTATTGGTGTAAAATTTCAAATATATTGTTCATATATGCTATTAGTTCTCAATATAATTGTAGTGAATTTCGTCACTTTTATTTCATTCCCATGCTCACCTGCTCCACCTGTGCTCAGTTTACTAGAACATTTGAAACTGAGCATAAAAGGGGTGGATTCAGATGTCTCTCTCAAAGTTGCCCTTCTCTCACTCAGTTGGTCACTTTGCCTTGCTCTGTACACAGTCAAAACACAATCTGATCTTCTTCATCGCATCATACCCGTGATATAATAAAATTCTGCAAAACTTTGTTCTTCTAAAAAATTTTAAACTGTAGCTCTGTAAACAAATTCTTTTGTATGTTTTTTAGAAAATCATTTGAAATGCTGGCTGTCTCCAATTCACATAAAGTCTGAAAATACAAAAATCACCCAAACAGTCTCTGTTACATTTGTGGAAAATGTGTTACAGTTTCACAAAAGAAAAACATCATACACAAGGTGAAGGTAGCTTACTACCACTATTTTGGGTGTAAAATTGGGCTCCACATGTGTGTTGTAGAGTTTGCACATACGATTTGACAAAGTGGCTGAATAAGAAGAGAACAAGTATGTCATTTGCAGTTCCCATGATATGGTGTGAGCCCAAAGATCATCTTACTGACTGTTACTTCTACATGAGTAATATTTCTGGATATTCAGACAAAACTTAACAATACATTAAATATCCAGATATTGCATCTGCAATGAAACCTCATGGGGATGGTCTTCCAGTGCCACATCCACTAGAAAATTGAGAAACAGAAGAGTTATCCTGCAGAGAACACAATAAATCATCTTTATCCTCTTCATCTAGTAATTTATTCCTGTGGCACCTCAACGTGAACCATCTCGTCTGATTCATGACTTGCCTCTATCAAAGCAGCATGGGGAACTTCTTGGCTCTTATTTCCTGCAATTGAATTTATTAGCTCCAGGAACAAGAGTTTCAGTTTACTGAAGTTGCCATCAAAGTCTTGCTTCTCACTACAGCATGCAAGATACTTTGTGTTTCTATACAACTGTTGATACACTGATGGAAGAATTATGTACTGAACATCATCCTCAAGAATGAAGATTTTTTTTTTTATCAACACCTCTAAAATTAGTCCGAGAGCTGTACTTTTGCCCAAAGAAAACACTAAGCCATTGATTCCTGTTGCTCATGCTTTGAAAATGAAAGAAACTTATCAAAGCATGAATATTATACTTGAGGCCATCAAATATGATCACCATAGGTGGAACATCTGCAGTGCCCTAAAAGTTATGGTACTCCAGCTAGGCCTGCAGAGTGGGTATACCAAACGCTGTTGCTTTTTGTGTCTTTGAGACAGCTGAGGTGGTAAAAATCATTTCAAAAAGAAGAAATGGCCAGCGAGAAAGAATTACATACCAGGGAAACAGAATATCAAGTATTAATCTTAAGTGGATTCACAAAATGTATTTCTGCCTGGGCATCATTTACTTCGCATCTCATATGTTTTAGTGACTTACATTCAAAATTTAATTAAACTACTTTTTGTTAATGTTATACCAATTGGTATGAAATAAAATGGTAACCAATAATCCATATTTTAATAGTGTACAAGTTTTAAGTTCTTAATTTTATAAGGCAAAATTTTAAAAATTCCTGAATTTCCTCTACTGTGAGAAATGTGACATTTTCTCTAGGCATTCCCTCTTCTCTATTCACCACTCCTCCAATAAGTATCAAATTTAATGTAAATTGCTTACTATAAAACTGTCATTGCTCAGACAAACCATAATTTTTATAGCCTTCAATCTTGTTTGAAGAGAGATGGAATCCTACAATGATGGGAGATTACTGTTGGTTCTTACAGCATGAAACTGAGAATATACACAAAAGGTACAAGTCAAGCAGCTATTTTGTAACAGAAAATTATACCTTGATGAAAGTTTTTAACATAGCTTGAATGTACTTTCAGTATATGATCTTATTATACTCATTGCTTTTTTAGCCTGGTATTGCTATTATGTATTGTTTTGAACATTCTTAAATGCAATAAATAAAGTTGTTAAAGAAAAAGTTATTTTCACAAAATCTAAAAATATTTTGAATAAATTTATCATAACTCGAAAATTAGAGGTGATCAGTAATTTTTAACACAATTTACAAATCAGCATTGTTGAATTAGTCAGAAACAGCTGCATTTTTTTTTCTAGTAGCAGAGAATTTTTTTTGTTGTCCAGTGTTATTGCACAAGATATTTTATATTGTCAGAATACCATTATTTAAAACATAAATCTTTCTAGGAATTTCAGTAACAAATTTTTTTAAGAATTCATTTTTCATGACTTGTCAGGATTTTAAAAACCTTTATAAAACCCAACCCAACTTATTCAGCTAAATACATATGAAGACAATACAATGGGCTGATAAGAAATTATTTTTACTCAAAACTTGAACATATTTTTTTCACACATTTTTTAACTTAATCTGGTCAGATGTTGTTTGCAAGTCTTCATTAGTGGAACAAAAACCTATTTACATCTCTGTATACCAAAAATTACAATACTATTTTAATCAGCCTCCTTAGAGCTTCCCAATATCATATTATAGAGATTCCTAACGAATATACCATGGAAAAACACAAAATCTGAAATAATTGAAAGTACTTCAAGACTCTGAATCTATGTATCACAAAAATTAACAATGAAAGCCAAGTAAATCAAATACTTATTTTTGTTTTCTTTTTTTATTCACTTACATTCTTCTCATGTTTATTTTGAAATATTTTAATTATTTCATCCTTCATATTCAAGACCTTTCTGCATAAGTTAATCAATACAAAAGGACCAGTGATTTAATATAGTTCTTACTGTAGATCAGTAACACTTGTTTTTACCTATCAACTTTCTTACTATTGAAAAACAAGAGATACCCTATACTTTAATTATGTTCTTACCTTGGCTTAAGAGTAAAGCGACCATTTCTTCATGACCTTCTCTTGCTGCTTCCATCAAAGGTGTATAACCTTCATCATTCACCTCTTCAATGTTTGCACCTCTTTCTAAAAGTAACGTAGCTAGTTCTACATGTCCACCACAAGCAGCTAAGGTCAATGGAGACTCAAAGCTGTCAGCAGGCATGTTCACCTAAAAGATAATCATTTACTAACTTACTGACACACTCACATTGCTAGGCTAACAAATAAAATTTTAATGAAGAAAATAGATTTTGTTGATTTCATTATAAATTACACTATTGCATATATAATAGAACACCAAAATTTAAAATTTCTATATATATATATATATATATATATATATATATATCAATAATGTTCTATCAGTTATATAGAAAGATAAAAGTATTAAACATCTTATGGGATGTACATAAGTAATTATGCTGACCTGAGCCCCAGAGTCTAATAGGAGCTTTGCTACTTCAACATGGCCATCCATAGAGGCTTCCATCAAAGCAGTATGCATTTCATCAGTTTTATGCTCTTGATCAGCACCAGCCTCCAAAAGAAACCGAACCATTTCTAAGTGACCTGAAATTCATATGTATAGAACCACATGAAACATGTTTTTCATTATAAGAGACCTGAAAATTATTTATAACAAACTAAGTGCATTACTCACAGTAAGAATTCTGAGAATACAGAATGAAAGTTTAGAAAAACATAAAAATTACTTTTAATAAAACATCAAGGTCACAGAATTACAAAAAAAAACAACAGCTAATATAAAATCCTTCAGTTTGAAGAACATTTTCAGAATTTAGAAAATTAAAAAATTATACCCAATCCATGAATGGGAGGGCCATGTCTATAACTAGGCCATTTGAAACTGGGATGGCTAGGTGTAGGACACTTAATTTTCAAACTGGTAGATAACACTATCGTATAAAACAGTACTGCAATGAGAAGGCTAGAATATAATATGAAGGTTTGAAACAGGTACTACAACTGAACCAGAAAAGAATTTCTAAATTAAGCTTCTGGTGACAAATATAACAATGTTTTGGGACAACATGGGACCTATTGGTCCATCTTAGCTGTCCCATCCCCTAAACTAAAAGCTAAAAAGAATTGATAAGGTGACATATAAGTCTTGTAAAAAAAAAAAAGTATCTCTATAGGTGTGGTGGATAAATTAGGAAATTGGGAAGAAGAGTGGCTGGATGAAAGAAAACAGAGGGATTGTTACAAATGGAGTTCAGTCAAAATGAATTAATGACACAAGTGGGGTACTAAAAGGATCAGTCTTAGGACCTTTGCTCTTTTTGATTTACATAGATGAATAAATGGTCATTATATTACTTAAATTTTCAGATGATATTAAGGTCTTGGGTGTTGCTAGCTGTGAAGAGGATGCTGCTGATTTACCAAAGGATTTAAATCATTTAGTGAGTTGGCCAAATAAATGGCAAATGGGTTTTAATTGTAATAAATTCAAGATAGTGCATGTGGGTTATTATAACTTGAATTATAAGTATAATTTGGATAGGAATAACCTTAACAGTGTCATGAAAAAAGGGATCTTGGTGTAATAACTGATCAGTTTCTTAAGTCATCCAAGCAGTGTGCTGTTGCTAGTGGTAGGGCAAATGGGATTTTAGGTTGTTCTACAAAAATACTGAATATAAGTCTACACAGGTTATAATTTCATTGTATAGGTCATTGGTTAGACCAGTTGAAGTACTGTGTTTAGTCTTGGGCTATTTACCTTAGGAAGGACATTGAATTGTTGAATTGTTCAGAGGAGGGTTACTGGAATGATGCCTGGGAGTTGTTGTCATATGAAGGGAAGTTGAAATCTCTAAAACTATTTTCTCTTGAAAAAAAGAGTTAAAGGGGATCTGATTGAGGTGTTTAAGATTGTAAAAGGAATTGATATTGATGCATCATCTTTTTTCATACTTAATAGTGAGCATAGTAGGACTAGGGGACACAAATATAAATTTTGGCAGGGTAGCAGCCATCTTTAGCTAAGACAGTTTTATTTTTCTAACAGGGTGGTTGGCCTTTGGAATGGGTTGTCATCAGATATAGTGGAGGCAGTAAATTTAAGTGAGTTTAAGAGACAGCTTTTTAAGTATATATGGAAAACTACTTTCTAACAAAACCTTGTTTAGTGATGTAACATTTGGAGTAACATCACAGTGACAGTATATTGAGAGAGAGAGTTAGGTAAACAGACAGACAGAATAATGGATACATAGATAAATATATAGCTAAACAGATATATACAAATAGCTGGATATGTAATTTTTCATCCATTACAGTATGATGACATACTTTTATGCTGAAAACACCATACAATAATCAACCTTTAATAAGAAAATGTGAAATCTGATGGAATAAACTCCAACTGTTATAAAGGTATCAAAACACATTTTCCAGATTTTGCCAATTAATAAAACCAACTGATTACTTTGTGTGGAAAGGACTTAAATATCAATAACAATAATAAGTATACAATGCTTCATGCTCATAAAGTAAAATACTGAAAAGTAATATAACAAAAGATATTTGCTTTCAGTATGAAACTGACAATGACACACAAAAAAAATATGATATTTTCTATGTGTGGATAATGCAACCTACCTTTATAGCAGGCTAAAGTAAGAGCACTTTCTTTAAACTCATTAGAGTGAGTGTTAATGCTAGCTCCATGTTCAACCAAGATCTTTGCTACACCAACATGTCCTGCACTAGCTGCTTCCATGAGAGGTGTGTGTCCATTCTCATTGTGATCTTCAACATTGGCTCCAGACTCAAGAAGCACACGTACCACCTCTTCATGACCACCTGCACATGCATACATTAGAGGAGTGTTTCCTAAAAGTTTAAAAACATGTTGACCATGAAAAACATGTTATTTGTACACAAATATTCTAAAATTGCCTAAATTGTAAATGGTAAAGAAATGAAAAATATTACTTATAATATAATGTAATAAAACCTACCACAGAATCAGATATTATTTAAGTTAGGTCAGCTGGAAAACTTAATAATGCATGTTGAAAAAAGAAATCTTAATAGTTCTAAACAATAACTTAAGTAATGTTTGAAGTAATCTTAGAAAGCATTCATCAAAGTGGATTAACAATCCATCTGAATGATTTAAAACACTAATCTTAGAGAGGAAAAATAATTAATGGTTCATATTTTTCTTTTTAATAAATGTAGCACCATTTAGTTTTGTTAAGACCAAACGTTAATTCCCAAGTACAAATAATGTTCTTCTGTGGTTTAAAAAAGTCATAATTTGAACTACCCACATCATAACTTTATCAATACCACAGTTGTAATGTCTGGATACACGTGTATATAAAAACAGAAGTCCACTGATCATTGTTTAAATCTCTCTAAAATAAAAAATAAACAGCAAAGACAAGTTAGAAGTATAAACAGAGAAATAGTTTAGGACATTACTATAATAATTAAAATCATTTATACTTCTATGACAAGGATCTTATGTTGTTATATATATATTATACATGATCATCTATAAATGCTGATGAAAGTTAACTCCTGACTAAATACAAAGATTAAACAGTGCTTTTATATCCAATTAAGCATTTTCTAGGTATTAGAGATGCATAGGCAGTAGGTAGTAAAATCTGGCCGATAACTAGGGCCAAGTACCCGGTCACTAAGCTTTGGCAGGGAGCATGTGTCAACTGAAACAGAGTCCCCCCCCCCAAATAAACATACACAAAAATGAGAAACAAAAACAAAATTGACATTTATTACATTTAACCGAATAATCACCAACAGAACATTCAAGTTTTACTTTCAACTTTCAATGGCTAGCCCTAACTTCTCAAACCCTAACCCCTATTGTTCTCAAAACCCCTACTTTCCTCAGAAATCCACTTCTCAAGCCATGCCTGCTATTAACCCCTATTGTTCTCTGAATTCTGGACTTTCAGCAGGCTGTCAGTCTTTGTTGCTCGGAACATGTTTTTCTAACTAAACCAATTATTGATTTTAACTTTCAGTATCGCTTTAGTTGCCACAAAGATTAGGGCTTAGATGCCTAACTTCAACACTTGACCAGAGTCGAGTATTACAGGGTACCCTGCATCTCAACTAGCTATACAAGTGAAGAAAAGGTCAAAAAGACATTCTGCAATAAGCAGCGACATTAAAATTTGCAAAAAAAAACTAGAAAAGCACTCAGAGTGCAACTCCTACCCTTCAGTGTTTTTGACTTTTGTAGTTACTGTTACTAACCTAAAATATATATCAAACAATTCCCCACCTTCAAAAATAGAGGTTTAGGTGAAAAGATCGTCTTTCTATTTTAATATGTTCTCAAGTTTTGGCCGTTTTTTAAAACTCCCAATTTACTTCAACTCACCAACAGTTCTCCAACTGGTCCTTTGGGGACACTCAACTTTATAAAAAATTTTAAAATCAGGTGAAACCTTTTTGAACTATACCATTTACACACACAGAGAAGTGAAACCAATATCCCTGTCATCAGGTGGGGTAAAAAAATATCTTTTTTTTTCTGTGTGTTAAAGATGCTGAGGAAACAAAAAGGTGCAAAATATTAGATAACTCAAACATGGGCAAAGAACTTGTGAAGCTTCAGTCAAATGATTTCTTTAAAAAAAAATTTGAACAAAAATGGCCTTTCCTAATGATGCCTTAAAGACAAAAATAACAAGACTAAATATATCAATATGTTTAAAACTATTTTTTCAATACAAGAAAAAAAAAGAAAACAATAATAATCCAATATAATAAAGCCTTTTAATAGATTTTGAGATGTATAAATAACTCCAAAGTTAAACAAAAAATATGGAATTTTAATCACATTAAAATTTAGTTCACAGAAGCTAATTATTCACTTCCTGTTTTCAACTTGATGATTTTTCATCTGCTCCTCAATGGTTTCTTGCCATCTCCCTTGCGCAATAAATAAAAAATAACTCGACATTTTGTTTCATGCTTGTAAACCTATAAACAAGTACTTCAAAATTAATATATGTACGACCATTTGACTTACTTTTTTCAACAATCATATCACTCTTATCTTTTTTCAAAAGTATGTAGTTGGAAAATTGAAGAATTAGGATTTCTCAAGATAGTATCTGCTGTATGTGGATCCAACGAACCTATCCACCATATTTTGGGTTTTTTTTTCTTATAAATACTTTCAGAACCCATTTTATTTGGTGTTGCAAAATAACACAATAAAAATAATTAAAACTACCTTGATTCGTTTGAGCATTCACATCAGCCGAATGGTCAAGGAGTAACTTTACAATATCCACATGACCTGCACTTGCTGCTTCCATTAAAGGGGTGGTGTCCTTTAAACCCCGGTCTTCAACACTGGTCTGCATGAGGAGAAGCTGTTTCCAAAGATACAAAAAATTACAAATTAGATGAAATTTAACCAAACTGAAATCTTATTAAATTTCAACAAAACTATTGAATCTGATTACTCCTGGTTTCTTTTACACTTTTATATTAAAATAGTGTTTTTTTTTTCTAGAACATTACAAGCCTAAAATCCCCAAAATTTGATCATCCTTAATGCAACTAATGTGATCACTAAATATGTCACTATAAAAAACAATTAGTTTAAATGCCTAATTAAAAGACTACTTTTCCTGTTAGGATTAGTACCTAAATAACAGATAAAAAACTACATGTACTACATTATATGTTTACTGACTTTACAATCCAGAGTATCACAGCAAACTTTAAACCTAATTCTGAGGTGTAGGATATTCAATATAACAAATTCCCATTCCCCAATCAGCTTATATGGGTCTTTTTCATTGGTCCACGAGTAATGTAACAAATCTGAAATTAATTTTTAAAAGTTAAATCAAATTAAATGTTGCTTTTAATATTTTAAAATAATTACAGAATATCAGAGATACCTACTTGAACAAGCTCGTAATACCCAGATAAGCAAGCTAATGACAGCAGACTCTCGCCTTTGTCAGTAACTTCATTGATATTACACCCTTCACATAGCAATTGCTGAACGGCTTTCAAGTCTCCCTCACTACAGGCTTCTGCCAGTGACCTTCCTCTACATACAAAAGCAAAACTAATTTTTTTTAAATTACTTTACTTAACTGCTACTTAAAATAACATACTTATAAAATATTTATTTAAATTCATTACTTATCCTAATGATCAATCACAAATTAATACAACTTTCATATTTTAAAATGTATTACACAAAAAAGTAGAAAAACTGCTTAAAGTTTCTTTGGGTGCTGAAAAAAAAATGTTTAGTAAGATTTGTACATGAATAATCTAATATCACAGGAGGTAAATTTTTAATTTCATTCTTTTAGTTAACTACTTAGTTGGTTTCTTACTCTGTTATTTGTCATTTTCAATGTTGCCATACACTATCTATCTATCTACTGATCCACCCATCTATCTATATGTATATATAATTATTACATACCCGTCACCTGGCACCACCCCTGAGGCATCCACCTGTCTACGGTTAAAAGTAGCTGCCGCCTCATCCAGAGCAGAAGTGACAGAAGTAAGATCTCGCACGGATCGCAAACCTTCTGGATTAGAACACTGCTTGTCAATGGCAACTACAACCAAAAAAAAGAGAAAACCACAAATCATGAATAAACAGCACATGCATGTGTGCGTATGCCTCCTAATAAAGTAAAAAGATAATTTTTTTTCATAAAAATATATATCAATAAAACTACAACCTTACCAGTGTACCTGGCGTTATCTAAAACTTAACAATGGCACAAATAATTTCATCATATTTCTCATTCTTAAGAAAAACGAAATAAGGAATAGCATGAGTTAATGGTGTTTATGCTTTACATACAGGTTTAATTATAGAGAAATCATTTAAGATAACACATACTATAGTGAAGACAATTGGACAGCAGTTGAAGCTATAACAATTAAATATAGGATCTACTGAGCTTGTAGTAAGACATCAAACTTTGTCTAACTTTTGAGCTTCCATCCTTCCCATCCCAAAACCATTTTTATGATGGCCTAAATACTATACGAGTTAAAGCTGAAGATGTTAATTTTGACAAGTTCTGTTGTCATTTATTTAAAAAAAGCACAACATGAAATACCTTTACCCACACATAGAGCAATAACACATTATTTATTCAACAGTACTTGAATTACAAAAGCTTAACATTAACATACCGTAATTTTATGTTCTTATTCAGTTCATAATTCTTACCTTCTCATTATGGACACATTAAAGGCCGCATGTCACAACTTTTTAGTTTTTTTCAAAATGTATTTAAACAACTTTATTATCATTGTATGCCAATAAAATTGGCATCACAATGTAGTTTATAATTTCAATATTAATAATATATGTGTTTTATTTTCTTAATTTAGAATAAAGTGTTAAAAAATATGAAATACAATTTTTTGTACATCATATGGAATGTCTTCTTATCATACTGCTCAGTGTATATTTTGTTACACCTACTAAACATCTATAATCGTTAACAAATTAAAAATGCAAAGTTAAGACAATTACAAGCTAGAATATAAAACAAAAACCTCCCATCTTTTTGATTTGCTGAGATATCAATATATTTTGTAAACCTACCATTGTAGTCACGCCCAATACTCCATTCTTTTGAAACCTTTTGTCTACTCATGCATACTTCTTTTAAGTACAAGTTTCTAACCAATGGAAAGAGCACATTCCAAGCTATATAAATCTGACAGTCATGAAGGGGGAAACTTGTAATTTTACTGGAAATGGTGAAGTCTGTTGAATAAGTTGCTCTGAACAGAAATGAGATTTTTTAACTCACATATAGTTAAGTAGAAAACCAGATAAATTACAGTGGTTTTGTGTACCAGTATAGTGATCTGATAATTATTTGGTTTTCTAAAATGCATCTTTGAAATCTCCAAAAATTAATTTGTCTTCCCCCTCCACTTCAGAGAATAAATTAGGCCTAGCAAGTACAGCAGATGAGCAAAAATTAATTCTGTAAAATTGTAAGTACTAGAAATCATTGTTTTCTGTATATTTTTTCTTTTAAGAAAAATCACTAAAAATTAAGCATTCATGAGTAAATAGTAACAAATACTTTCATGTTCATAAGCACTTACACACTTTGTACATCCATACTGGTAAATTTCGACCATCCCAGAAGAATAACTGATATCCAAATACCTACCAAGTTTACTGGATTGGCCCATATTTTGTACAGAGCCATATTAAACTTTTTTTTACACTTTTATTACTTTAGACAATTCTTGTTGCAACCACTGTACTGTAAAAAAAGCCGATAAATCCTCTCACACTGTGTTCTCGGAGCCAGGATTACAATAAACTCTGTGATAATTGTGCCACACGAGCTTATTTGCTATCAATGGTGTCGTATTACAGTGTCACATAAACAGTCTAATGGCAGGAGTGGTGATTCACTGCTTTATGTTCGGCAGGTTTCTACTTCAGCCGCTAACAGTAAAATAAACATAGGAAATAGAAGTGAAAATATTAGAAGCAGAAACTCTCAGAAGTATTTTGGAACTTCATGGTCAATAATAAAAAGGATATCACAGTACTACTCAATTTATTTCGCATTTTTCAACCTTTAAAGTTTTATGGTGGCTACTAGGTCAGTCAATTTGACCAACCCTGTATAGACTTATGTTAGAGAAAATAACAGAAAAAAACAACTTTGATATTTATACAGGGGTTCTAAAGGTTACACACAAAAAATTTGAAACTTTTCAAATGAAGTATTTTTAATCTTGACATGAAAAATCACTTGCACTCAGATCAGTCAACACTCTGACTCCACATATTCACGGACAAGGTTTTAGTAAAAAATACTAAATCAGAAATTCTGATTTTCTGCTCACTAAATAACCCTGATGGTCACCTTTGGGTTACATGATTGGTGTAATCCACCAAGGCAGTAGCAAAAGAGTTAACAAACCATAATAAAGCAAGTAAAATACCAAATAACTGTTATAGACATTTTATAACAACTATGCAATATCCATTTCTGACACAAAATATTTAGCATTTAAATTGGACTGTAATAATTCTAAACATCTTATTTCACATCAATGTTTTCATCATTTAACTACTTAAGGTCTTGAATTTTCTACTGGTTAAGATGCTAATGCTTTGAAGTCCCCAACAGAAATACTGATTTTAACATGAATATAAAAGCAATACAGCATAGTTGCACAATATTGTCTCCATTTAGAAAAAATAAAGAAAGGCTGACAGAGCAGACTACACAATACTTTGAAAAAGACATTTTAATACTACAGGTTAGTTTAATTAGAAAGATATTTTTCAAAAACTATTGGATATTTTAATTGCAAATTAATCTTTAGTTCATTTTCAGTTGACCTTTATTTAAATGAAAAATTCAACTTAACTCACTGAAAGTGATTCTTAATAGCTTCTTGACTGAACATAAAATGCGATATTATATCTCCTAATGAAATGCTGATTTGCTTAACAAATTTCCAATTATTTTTTCAAAGTCAGATTTCCTATTTAATATTTATCAAGTCAGCCAACTTCAAAAAAAAATTGTTTGCTTTTTCATTTCACTACTCTTTCTAGTATAACTCTGAATCATTTACATTGAATTTTCTTGCAACTGAACCTTGATCTCTACATACTTCTTTTTCTGATATTTGCTAGCTCTATATTTCTGCTACTTATCATACTTGTGGCTTTCAGGTTTCATTTATTATTGGGTCTATTTTTTTAATATTATCAAAAGCCTTTCAATTGTCTTTGCACATAGCAGTGTTAGGTGGAAAATTAACAGATCATTATTAACTTTAGATAATTTCCCATGACAAAAAAAAGTCATATAAAAGGTGCAGCAATGCTGGCTGACTTTCAACTTCAAGGATTTACAATTTTTGTCCAGCATTGTATTCAACCAAATCACATGAAATAACCACTGAATCTACACAAGAATTATGCTCTGTAACCTTCATAATAGTATCTATGACTTTCGTCTGCTATTCTTCCTACAAGTTTTGACGTTGGTAAACAGGATTCAACATGATGGTTGTTAGCTGGACAAGGGAAACAAGAAAAGTCCAAACAGATGGAAAGTACCATCATTGAATACTATTCTTCAGAGTGCTATAGTGTATATTTGCAGCATTGCATTATCTTCTTGAAGATAGAAACCACCCCAAACAACACTAGTTTATCACCTTTGAACTTTATAATAGAATGCAAACAGGTTACAACAAGCTTAATACTGCACTCATACCTACTAAAGGTGACTCAACACTTTGAAAGTCCACAAAGATCTTAGATAATAGAATTTATGTTTTGTCAAACACTTCTTCATTTCAGTGGTATTGATGGCTTAAGTATTATTGCAATTTTTTAAATTCTTCAGTAACACACAATATAGCAGTCCAGGATTCAAAAACACCTTCATTCAGAACAAGTAATTAGTCCAATGTTTCTCAGCTGGGGTGCAACAGACTTTCTCTAGGGAAGCCAAGAGATTTTAGTAAAATATTGTTATCTCTTTGACCCTCCCTTGGCTATGCCACTGTTAAGTAGGTTATAGAGCATTATGGGTTCCATGGAAATTGTAGACTATGTGTAGGGGTCTTGAGCAAAAAAAAAAAAAAGTGAGGAACACCAAATTAGTCACTGAATAGATTCACAAAACTTCAAGATGTACACCAGTAATGTCCATACCTTACTAAATTCACTTCAATCAATCACAATTTATTTTCTGACAAGTCCTTATAAAGGAGTTAGTACTATCCATTTATTCTCTTTGAACATGTCCCCTTTCAAAGTAACTACTAATATAATAGTTTAAACATTTCCCCTAATTGTGTCCAGGAATGGTCTAAAAATCTCTGAAGTACAAAATAGCTCCAAACTGCTTAGACTCTAAAAATTTCAGTTGTGTACACTAGGCCTCTAGCAAATTCTAGAAATCCTTATTCTAAGAAAAGATTACTTGACCTAGAAGGAAAATATGAAGGTAAAAAAACAGACCACATTAAATTCTCTAAATAAGGGCACCAATTATAAAATAAATATCACGTAACATATAAGGAGGCCACAAACATTTCATACATTTGACCGTATTGGAAAATAACAACATAAAAAAATTCTAATATGAAAGTAAAACAAAACATACTGTAATTTGCATCTTGCAGCCTGTAGATTAGCAACCACAGACTTAAGAATAAAAATTAAGCTGTTGCATAAAATGATAGAAATTATTTAAAAAGAAACAAAAAAAAATATAAACACTCAGTAAAAAATACCTTTTGGTAATTTTCCAAACGTTTATCTCTGCTAATCATAAAGCATTTATTTTATTAATGTACTTTTAAGCCCAATAACAGTCTTCCTTCAAAAGCATGTTCCAAATGTTAAAATATCTAACTTGTAATTTGATACCTACATGCACCAGGGACTTTAAAAAAAGCTTCTAATTCTGCTCTTGTTTCAGGATCTACGCTGTGCAGTTCTAGGTTTTCTACACCATCTCCAGGTAAGAGAAATTTAGATGGTTCTTCATCTAAATCTGCCTGATCTAAAATAAAGGATTCAACCTGAAACAACAAAAAGAGAGTTTAATTAAAATTATAGCTTTTAGAAAGTTCTTTTAATGAGCATTCATGTTTAAGCCTAGAATAACATTAAAAAAATAATTAACTACCACCAATGTCTCATTGATAATATAAATATGAAATTATATCAAATTAATAGTGACATTTTTAAAATTATAAGTTTTGTCCAATTGTGCTTCATATAAAAATAAATACTTAACATAGGAAGCTACAAAAAAGGGTTTAACTGTTTTAACATTACTCTACTTCTAAAAACTGAATCATTATGGAGTATCAATTGGAAAACAGGTTATTTTCACAACTTACTTCTACGTGCTCACCTAAGTGACCTACGATAAATAATTGTATATAAAAAACAAAAGCAAAATGTTATCATCAGAGTTTTCAGCTACAGTGAGACCTATTCTCTGTTTGATTAACAATTCAACATGAACATGAAAAATTGAACAATTTTAAAACTTGGGATATCAGGTAAATGTTTAGCCATTTCTAAAGGCATAAATAAGGCTCTAGCTAAGTCATCATACATTTTAAGTAAATTACTCACAGGATAAAAACTTCTAAGTGTAATAAGTTTTCGTTTACACAGCATGTATTTAAAATGTTATGCTACAAAAAATAAAATATCTATGGAGTTGGCAGTGAAATTTGCAAAATGTCAATAGTTAAACTGATTTGTGTTGACAATACACACTATTGTTAAATAAAGGAGATTAATTTGCTATTCAAATAGTACTTCTATATTGATATAACTATCAAACTTTAATAATAACTATAACATGAAAGGTTAAAAGTTCATGTTAAGGCAAAGTTGTTGTTTGTTCTTGATAGTTAGTATTGGCACCAAAAATGGAACATTTATAAAACCATATATTTTCTCAAGACTATGCTGAATACCTCTAATGTTCCTTGATAGGTATATGTTCTTTATAACATACTAGATAATAATAACAACAATGTAAGTAAAAATAATAACCAAAAATATATAAAAAATAGCCACGTTAATTTCTGATGTCTTTAATTATGACTTGTAAAAATACATTGTTTATGTACAGATACAAAAAAAATGTAACAATTTTTGCATTCCATGACACACACATGGTTATAATACTTAGAATATCTATCATAAATAAAATCAAACAATGCAGAAGGTGTACTCTTTCATATGCTGTATAAACTACCCTAATCCTACTAACTTTGATAGGAAATTATAAGGCATTATGTCAGTATTAAATGTAGCAAGAATTATTTTCTGCTATTTTAGATCACAGCCCAAATACAGTTTTTACCATTTAATTTCAGATAATGTAATATATCCATCAGTGGTAGTCTGAGGATGACATTTCCAACTCTTCACAAAGATCTTGATATGACTACAGTCTACATAAGTATATCTATAAGCAATCTTCACACTAATGCTGGTGGATTAACCTCATTACACTATTTGAAATGAATCTACCTACCATCTAAACACTTTTAAAACTTTTACCATTTATTATTTATAAATTAATTTCCTAAGAAATAGTAAACCTACATGTATACTACTAACATTAAAGGTATGCAGTTTCATATAAAATTCCTTGTCCCTGTTTATCAACTTGGTAGCAATCAGCACAAGTGTGTTATGTGGATGAATACTGGAGACTCGCATTCACTAACTAATAACTATACTGACTTACTATGTATACATAGATATCAAACTTTTTGACACATGTATAAAAACTGTGGAAAAATTAAAAAATAATTAATGGGAAAAATAAAAAATTATGACCTTGTATGAAGATCACATATATTATATATAGCACAAATACACACACACACATGGGGTACTTTCAGTTATAATAAAAAGAGCTGTGAAGATAAATAGCCATGTACTGAATCAACAGAGTATAAAGGTCATTTGATATCAGATCTTGGTTTAAAAAATTAAGAGAAACTATTCTAAGACATTAATACATGCATTCAGTTCCTTTGCACATTTAAAAACTGGGCTAATAAAATAATAGGTCTAAGCATATAAGCGTGCTAAAACAAAACTTAAAACAACTAATGAATAATCTTAAATATTACAAAGAACTATGTTTTCTTTTTAATTCCCACAATTTTTTTATCAGTTGTACATAGTAAAACTTTTATTTTATTCACACTTTTTCACCAGAATTACCTGACATCATCAAGCAAAATACAAGAACTAAGGCTAGCAGAATTTAATTTTCAAAAAGGAATCACATGAGAATCTATAACAACAGTAATCTAATAGCATGTGACAAAGCAATTGCAAACTTAATAAAGTAACTTATCAGTTAACTATCAAATTTAGGAATCTATAAATAAAGCTCTTAGGCCTGAGTCTAAGTATTAAAATGCATTCTACATACAAGAGGGAAAGTAGTAGGTTAAAACAGATATAAATGAATACCTTTGTAGTTGTTAAGAATATGGTTATGTTTTTTATTAACAGTGCTTCTTTTATTTTTCATCTATTAATGTTGTATTTTCTTCTAAAAATTGTTACCTGGGAAAAATCAAAAGAATGATTGTTCCTAGACAAGAGTTCAAAAACATGAGATGGAGATTTTAAATGTTCATGCAAACAAGTAGAAAGTTGTTTATTTGTCCCATTAATATAACAGTATTTGCAACTTGTATATTCAAAGGAAAATAAGCCACAAATTGACATAGAAAATGATTCTTCCAAATATATCCTATTACTTGTGTTTTACCATCCATCCCAAACTTATATCATGCTATCAAAAATATCTGGTTCAAACAGCCAGAGTATAAAATTGACATTGAAGTACAATTTACCTATTAATTTTCATTAAATATGAGTAATTAAGAGATGTGAAGCTTTTTCATCTAGATTTAGTATTTATTCTCAGTGCTGGACTGTTGAAAATAACAAGACAAGATATTAGCAATTAAAAGTATTTGCTAATAGATTAATCGACAACCACATTCATTGATTTCACCCAGTTTTTTCCTAATCACTAGTTCCAAATTAGTGACAGTGGCAGATAGCCTTAGTAGCTTTACCATAGCAAAGAAGGTCCACGTAAGCTTGGGGGTAATATGTAATTGCTGACCACATGGAATTAATTATATCAAGTTGCCCAGCTCTAAACAAGACATATTGGTATTACATTTTATATTACAATCTACAGTGTGGGTGGTAAGTAGCCATTAAGAGTAAATAAACAGAACGAAAGAACATAAATATGAATATATAAACAAAAACTACTCCAGGCATTTCATAATTTGAATCATACGAAGTTACACAAGGTGAATTCTTTACTAGCTGATGATAGCTGATTCATGTACATTTCACAGTCTTCTGTTTATCTAATATCCATAATACTGTAACTAGATCTTTCATTTATAAAAACAGCCTGAAACTTGGACCAAACATTGTAATTTCTCCCATTGCTCTCATAGAAACCTTTCCACATTTTTAAAAAAGGTCATTAAAATATAAATGGACAACTTTTACATCCATCATAATGGGATATATCTTGATAACCATGATCTAAAGATAACTAAAAATAAATAAAAAACTGAAAATGATTCAGCAAATACACAACATTCTTTTTAAAGCAAAGTACTGAAAGTATCTTGGGAAGTCTGACTTTTTATTTTAACAGTGCACACACACATATAAACAACGAAGCCAACAAGTAACTTCTTATCTTAAATAATTATTTACTAGAAAAAAGAAAGTGTGGCCAGATACATGTCAAACTTGTAACTCAGTAGGGGACATTGCCCTCCCCCCAAAAAACTTTTACACAGTAGAATACAAAACATGTGGAAGCCCAAGGGCATTCACCTTAACAGTGACTCAGATAATCGTGTGGCATATTTAATTCAGCACTACAGCATGATCCAAAATCTATAACTGTAGTAAAAGAAAACAGTAAGAAAAACAACTTTCTTTATGTGTACATCATATTATTGACATGTGAATAAGGAATTCTCTCCTTCTATTATCTAATCTTTTAATACTGATAACTACCATACTATTGCTAACATCTTATTTATCTTAAAATCTATTTCACTGGTATACATTGGAGTTATTCAATTCATTTAGTTGCCTCGTTTTCTTCCCATTTCCACATGAACAATATTTAAAATTATTTTTTTTTATTTTACATATTTACATTACAATATCTGTGCAGTTGCTTAAAACAACTTATCATTGAAATAATATGTTGTAAATGTTATAGAATTATTACCAGTATCAATCACTGTTACAGTCACAAAATTAGTTTTGACATTCAAAAAGTGCACTTTACTCAATCTCTTGTTTCCTACTGTCAGATTTACAGTAGACATACTTTTGTTCTTTTGATATGTACTAGAATTGTATTATACTTCAAACGTAATGTTTTAAATATATCAATTTCACAGTATTAATTGCTTTATACTTCAAACAGGGAAAAACTAATACAGAGGTCCAGGACGAACATGTTTTGTTTATTAGGGAGTGAAAAAGGATTACTGATTCTGCTTAAGTAAATATGCTGTATACTTAATGAAATGTTCAGTAAAGTTAGACAAATAGTGGAATTTGATAATAAGTTAATCTTCAAGCTTATTAATTGATTAAAATCGACTGATCAATTATTTTCACATGAAATTTGGATAGGTGGAATAATCAAAAATAATAATGGGAAACAATAAATTTGAGTAGGTGATTATTTTTGTGATTTGTGAAACTATTCAATTAAGTTGGACAATCTTGAATTAATAAAAAAATAACGAGAAATCATAATGGCAATATTTCAATTACTTCGAGAGTTGGAGCAACTGGAAACACTAACTTAGATTAGTTAATTATTTTTGTGATATAAATCAATTTAAGCATACTTTTGATTATATTTTATGTAACACTAATCTATGTAATCAATGTTCATAGGTATCCAATTAATCATGTTAATTATCCAGAACTACCATTCAGTAATCTAAAATGTTAAATATATCTT